GGGAGGGGGGGGGCAAGGCTGGCTGGAGGCCCTCACCGGCTTCTCGGAGGGCGCGGGCCCTGCCTCGGGGGTCCCCCTCACGGGGCGGTGGCCACACCGTGCGGTGAGCTGGTGGGGATCCGGGGTCACCGCACGGTTTTAGGACTCGGGTCGTTCTCCGAGGGCGGCGACCGGGGCCTCCGAGGTCCCAGGACCGTGCGGTGACGGACCGTGCGGTGAGGTCCTGGGGGGTTTCGAGGTCACCGCACGGTCCGTCACTGCACCGTTTCGGGACTCAAAACTGTCTGTGGATGTGAGGGCGGCGCCTTCTCTAAGAGGCAGCCTCCTTCCAAGAATGCCTTCCCCCCTCCTCCCACGTGCCCCCTCTGCGCGCCGCCAGCCAGGGGCAGATGCCTGACCCCCGTGGGCTTCCGTCGGGCCTGTCCTTCTGCAGGAGGAGCATGGACAAATAGTAGCACAAGTAGTCTGGGGACGATCTGTTGGGAGTATTTCCGACCATCTCTTTTTGACTACTTTATATTTTTGTTTCGAGCATCTCTCGAGTATGTTTGACTACTTGTTATTTTTCGTCGAGAGTCCCCCTGTAGGAGGACATGCCCGACCTGACCGTGGGCCCCCACGGCGCGCCCGAAAGGGGCGGGGCCGCCTCGCCCGCGGCGTACACGTCCCCGCCGCTTCGGCGGAGGCCGGCGGAGGAGCACGGGCAACCCGCATAGTAGGGACGGGCAGCCTCCCCGAGGGCACCCTTTGCATCCTTGCCGCCTCGGTCCATCCTTTGTGAAGGGGCCCCAGGACGCACACATAGATACACACAAACAAGACTACTCCCCTATATTTTCCTATATTTTCTGGGTTTTTGTCTCCCCCCCACTTCCCATATTTCCCCATATTTTCTTGGGAATCGACGATTCATTGTGTCTGTGTGTTTTTTCCCCTCCTGACTTTACCGCTTTCGCTGGCCGCGCCCCGCTCGAAGAGCTTCGAGATGCGCGCCCACGGCCCTGGCGTCCTCATCGCGCATCCCTACCATACTGGTTGACTGCATGTACAGTCAGAAACCCGAATAAGGACGCGCGACTTTACTCAGAAATCCGAATAAGGACGCGCGACTCTACTCAGGGTACCCTTGCGTCCTTGCTCTTCCTTGCTCTTGCGTCCCTGGGGTTTTCGTCGTCCGCCGCCCCAGAAACCCCAACTTCGGCTTCCTTATCAGGGTTTTTGGCTGTACATTGGCTGGTTCTCGCGTCCTTACCGCGCGTCCTTATCAGGGTTTTTTCTTTGCTCTCGCGTCCCTACCGCGCGTCCTTCTTAGGGTTTTTGGCCGTAAGTCTGCATTGCTGGCGGCTCGAGAGAACAGCAGCGGGGGCGGCAGGCGGCGGGAGCGGGGCCTCCCGGAGGGGGGGGGCCGTAGGTTGGCATCGCTCCGACGTGTGCCTGCTTTTTTTTTTCGGCGAGGGCCCTCGCGAGGCGAAGAGGATCCTCGCGCGGCAAAAAAAGTGATCGGAGGCGAGGGAGGGTCCGAGGAGGAAAAGGTACCCATGCCTCTACCCTTCGGCCGCTTGGCCCCTTCGGGGGCCTTCTGGGAGGCCCTCGTCGCCACCGCTGGATTCGCCTGGAAATTCTGGTCAGAACGCACCCCGGGAAAGGTCCAGGGGGGGGGTAGCGGTATCGGTACCTTTTGATTCTTCCAGAGGGGGGAAGTCTGAGAGGGCGAGGGGCCTCCTCAGAAGCTTTGGAAGTCCCCCCCCCCCCGGCCTTCGGGGAAGCGTTCCGAGCCCTCCCCGAAGACGGACGAGAACTTCCCAGGAGGCGCGGGGGCTTCTGAGAAGGCCTTATCTCAGGAGGGGAAAAAACACACAGACACAATTAATCGTCGATTCCCAGAAACATATGGGAAAATATGGGAAGTGGGGGGGAAGACAAAACCCAGAAAATAAGGGAAAATGTGGGGAATCTGTTTTTTTTGTGTGTATTGATTTGTGTGTCCTGGGGCCCCTTCATTATCCTTCTCGCCTCCCCCCCCGCGCTCGCCGCGGAAGGAAGCGCACGAAGCCGAACCAGGCTCGGGGCATGGGCGCCCGAGCGATGGCGAGGAGCCCGAGCAGACGGCGTCGGGGGACTGCGCTGGAGAAAAGCCCCTCTTCCTCCTCCATCTCCTCCTCCCCCTCCCCCTCCTCCCCCTCCCCCTCCTCCTCCTCCTCCTCCTCCTCCTCCGCCTCCTCCTCCTCCTCCTCCTCCTCTCCTCCTCCTCCACTGCCTCCTCCTCCTCCCCTCGTTCCCTCCCCCTCCTCCCCCCCCCTCCCCCTCCACTGCCTCCTCCTCCTCATTCACTTGAAATTGCACCAGAGGGACATCCCAATCAGTGGATGGTTTGAGATGGGATCGATAAAGAGATCGACGAGGAGATCGACCGGGAACCCGGGAACCCGGAACCCACCGAAATCGGACCAGAACCAATGACCGGGAACCTGGGAACCCAGAACGAGGAACCCGGGAATCCAGCCGGCCACCAACATCGGCGAGAAATGTTCGCCAAGTCTTTCAATTTCCGTTAGGCCCCCTCTCCAATAATCCGCCAGAACGAGAATCCGATCGAATTCAAAAAGCGCACGTGGGGCACGCAACGAGACGCGAGCCGGCCCAAACAGCATGCCAGCCGCGGAGGAAACATGTGCGCGGCCGCGCCAAAAAGATTGCACTGGCGACCGGCCCAAACCTAGACAGCTGGCCGGGAAATTCTGCGAACCAATATGTTGCCCATGCGGAAAAGCCGCACACAGTTGCCCGCTGGCGACGCCGCTGCGGACTGGAGGGGGGGTCGCGCTGTCCGACGCCGACCGCAGGCCGGGCACGGAGGGCACGGAGGTGGTGCTCGCGGACAAGATGTGCTTGGACAGGCACGTGGTTGACTTGATGATGTGCTTGGAGTCGTGGCTGTGGCGCGGCTCCCAGGGTATATATATGTATACATATATATATATATGTATATATATATCGAGATACATGTATGTAATACATATATATATATATACACACATATATCTGGCCTACGTCGGGAGCACCGCGGGCCAGGGAATCGGGTGGCGCCGGCGTGGCAGGTAGATCGGTGACTCGGTAAGAGTGTAGGTGAGCGTGTGAGCGAAGGACCAGATAATCGCGGTAAGTGGATCGTGCGCGCGTGCGTTTTGAGATCCGCGCCTGACACACACTCACACTGGTGCCATATTCTGGGGCTTCGACGGGCATTCACCCAGGCTTGCGATCGGCCGTCTGGCGTCTCCCGAGAGCTACTGTGCTTGCGAGGAGGCCACTGGCAAAAGCACGCTTGGTGGTTGCCAGAGGCGGCATGGCTGCTTTTGACAAGCCGTATTGCTCGCCCACGCGTTCACTCTTCAGTTGATGGGGGTCCTCGTTGGCACAGCTAGACACGACTCGCCAAAATTGTCAGAGTGGCTCCCAGGCGGGGTCCGAAGACCCGCCGTGAGCAAACCCTGACCGTGAGAACAATGGTTTACTTTTAAATCGGGCTTGTCCTTCTAGAGGAGGAATACTCAAGAATAGCAAAACATAGTTTTGGGATGAATTTTGATCATTTTTTACATGTATGGAGTATGTTTTGACCATGTTTTATTGTTCGTCCATGTTTTATTTTTCGTCCAGAATTCCCCTGTGGGAGGAAATGCCCGACCTAAGTTGAGTGCCTGGTTCTGAGGCGTCGCCTCTCTGTAGCTCACCGCAGATGCTAGTGATGTCCCAGGCTTGAGAGGGCCAACACGAATGGAGATGGCAATAGAGGATGGTCTGTTTCACGAACTCGTCGTCGAACTCTTCGACGTCTGAGCGCCCCTTTTTTCTCTCGGCCGCCCCCCCCCCTTCTCTTTGCCCGCCGGCCAATTCGCTAGGTAGTGCCCCTTTCTGGCTTCTCGCTGGAGCGGAGTTCGCCGGCTTGCCGCTGACACAAAATAGTTTCACGACCTCGGATTACTACAGCAGGGGGGGGTATGGCGTACGCGCGCTGTGCGCACAATGTTTGACCATAGCTCGGGGGCGCGGCTGCACGACTACGCAGTGCTCGAGTTTTGAGCGTTTGGCGCACCAGTGCAGAGAGGCAGGTGCATCGTCGATGACATTTTTTCGTGCTCCTCAGGCATGTCGCACACTCCCAGACGCCGAAGAGACGCATCCTCATGACGTGGCACCGCCAGGGCCCCCCCTCCCCCCACATCGGCACCGGGAGCAACAGGGGCGGGGCGTGGGGGGGGGAGGAGGGGGACAGAGGAGCGGGGTGGAGGGCAGGGAGGGCGAGATAAGAGCTTCAGAGGGACAGGGGCGGGGCACAAGAGGACTGCGGGTCAGGGGGGGGCCGGGCGAGGCGGGAGGCGACGGGGGGCAAGAGGGCAGGAGGGGGCGAGCGGCGCGGCGGATGTGGACAAAGAGCCTTGCGCCAGCCGCGCCCCTCCGGGGCGCCGGCTCTGGGAGGCGATGCTCGTTCGACACCGTTTCGGCAGTCTCCTTGGGTGCTCGAGGTCATCTCTGGGATGGGTGCTGACGTGCTGACGTGCGATGGGAGCAGCAGGAGCCTCGGCGGACTGCCGAGGGGCGGGGGCGAGGGCGGCGGCGAGGCACGGCCGGTGGGCAAGAGCCTGCACCAGCCGCGCAGCCGGGGCGACGGCGCAGACTTCCACGCGCCCCCTGGGCCCCTCTGCAAGGTTGGCTGGCTGCGCCCGCGGGCTGCAGGATTTCGGCCAGTCGGCGGATGGACAAATCGCGCAACGGCCTGTCAGTATTCAATTGGGGGCGTGGGGGGCGAAAACAAAAACCTAACAAAATACAGGATGTTGGTGGGGGGGACGGAGGAGAGGAGGGGCAAAAAAGAGAGGAGAGGTGGGGGGGAGCAGTCTGGGAGGGGGAGCGAGCCATGCGTTCACGGGCGCATGCAGCCGGGCGCGGGCCCCCCTCGGGACGCGGACACGGCGTCTTCTTGGGCCGTGGTGTGCGTT